GAAAAACAGATAGCAAAAACAAGCCACAGACTTTGACTAAGCAGAAGAAACTCTTAGTCTACATATACATTAGGTAATTTTTCCCATTTGGTAGTAGGCAAGAGGACCATAACTGAATTTCAGTAACTGTTCTGAATATTATTGCAGAAAAGATTTTCTTTTTTAAGACACTGCTAATTTAGAAAATTAAAGGTAACAAGTGACATACTGTCAGGAGAAAACACCCCTAAATCATCATGCCTTTATCATCTGCACCCGACAACTTTGAGAAAGTAAGGTGAGGAGTCTTTTGGATCATTTATATTTATTTTAAAATATTTTGGAATATTTCCACTGAGGAACTTCCAGAAGTTTTTTGTAAACAGAAATTCTAATTTGTTACCAGGTTGTTCTAAGACTCTGTCACTCACCCAGAAAGATCTGATTCCTAAAACTATCAATAAAATCTTGAGGCTGAATATAATCAATGTCATTCACTCCTTATATCTTTATAAGTATTGGTAAATAATTATTCTTTTGCATTTTGAAGATCAATTTGAACTGAAGAATATGTCTTACATTTATATGTCTCAATTTAACCCTGCTTTTCTTCTGAATGAGGGTTACAAAAACTAAAATTGAACTCAAAAGAAAGTCGTTGTCATTTCCTCTTCCCCCCCCCCCCCCACCCTTTTTTTGGTATGTTTTTCTTGTTTATTCGTTGTTTAATATTGTTCTTAAGCACTATTTACCTAAAGAAAAAATAATAATATGTCTGGCTACAGTTTTTCAAACTGAAAAACACAGAAAACTTGTGACTCAAATGCTTCTTACTTCCCCATCTCTTATTAGAAATCAGCATCCTGTTAAGGTTATTTCTCTCATAATCTTCCATTCCCTCTGGTCACATAAGACTCTCTTGCCTCTGTCTTCCCTAACTCTTCATTCCCATCTACAAGGTGCTATCCTTATCTTAATAAAGTCAGTAGCTTTGTCATTCACAGAGATTGGGATTTCCCTTCTCACATTCCTTTTAAAAGGAGTCTCCAACAAGAACACCCTCAATCTTTCCACTGCTTCTGACCCACTCATCCTTTTCTCCTTCAAACACAAATACTGAAGCCTCATTGCAAACAGCATCAAAATGTGGGGTGGGGGGAGGGAAATCTCTACATAGGAGAAAGAAGCCACTTCCTGAGGAAACCTTGTTTTTGTTTTTCTTTCATCTGTGCTCCTTTACAAACACCATAAAGCCACAGTGGAATAAAATTAGAACAACAAATAAAAGCTCTACAGCGACATCTCTCAATGGCTGGAAAAATACATTTTCATGTGAATGATGCATGCTTGCTCCTCTCTGAATTTCTGGCTTGATTTTGGGCATTTCCATGTCTTATTTTCTATTTTGCTTTCTATTTTACCTTGCTGCAATCCCCAGCAAAATTGCCATATACCTATTCTATATATGCTTGTTTTCTGTGATGAATAGTAATTGTTCCTTCCACTACTTGTCTGAAATCACGAATCAACAGACACTGCCTGACAAACTTGTTGAGACAAATGCTGCTTTACTGAGTTAAAGAAAAACATCCCTATTGTTCCTAATTTACTGTCAAACCAGAAGAAAAATGCTCTATTCAAAAGGCAATGATTTACACGATCTTAAACAATACTTGTCTTATATATGAAGCTACAGTAATTTGGAATTTCTATGCATCCAAAAAAAATCTCATTGACATGACAAATATCAGGATTTTCCCATTTAGAATAAAAGCTATTACTTTTAGCTGATTGCATTTCTAATCTGGAGGTGATAAGAACAATGTTATGACTTGTTTGTTTGTTTGTTTGTTTTCTAGTTCCTTGAAAAGCTGTTCTTGTTCTCACTTTAAATGACGAATTTGGGGGAATTCAGCCTAAACGTTATAGGAAGCTGAAAGTCTTGATCAAGCCTTGTGTACTACAGGTTACTTTAGCAGAAGGAATAGTTTAGAATAACATTCCAGGGTAGAAATTTTAATTTACTATGAGGGGAAGCATACTCTATGCCCAGACATTCATCTGCTTTCTCTTCCAGTCTCAAGCAGCAATAGTAACTACTGTTATTCCACATCCTAGACACTGGACACTTTGGCTTATGATAACAACATATATCTTAGAAACTTTATCTGGACTATGTTGTCTCAAGACAGTGAGGATCTTTAGCTACATCAGAAATAAAATAGATTCCAAAGAGGAGGAAAATAAATACATCAGTTCTACATGATGGAGCTCATATAACACAGGTGTCTACCCACAACGTAGAAGTAGGTGCCAAAACCATAAAAAGAGGAAAGATGAAAGGAAGACCCCTCTCAGCTTTCTGAATGCCAGTTTACACAGCTCTTCACTCAGTTCCATTTAGTGAATTTTGTTTGTCTTCTTCATCCCCACCCCACCCCTCTGCATTCTCCAGAAAGTTTAGGGATGCCTTTGCTGTACCAGAAGCCAAGACAAAGTTAAGTAAGCTTAGCATGCTTACTGCTGTGGAGCTAGCCCCACAGAAGCTACTACCTGGGAACTCCAGAAGAAGGCTCAAAATGAGCAACTGCTCACGCAGAGAAGAGATTTCCATGTAAAAATGAAGGTCTAATAAAAAATGAAAACAAACAAAACAAAACAAAACCTACTATTCCCAATTTGGAAGAGCATTGGATCCTCTTCTGCATTTTAATGCCAGAGCTGTTTGGTCAGGTCAGAACTTGCTGTAATAAAGATGACTACTAGCAGCAGTATGTTTTATTTTCACAAGAAGCACTCATGCATTTTTTTATTCTCCTTTTTTACCCTCCATTTACTTCTGTGAATGTTTTTACTGAATGTATAAACAAGAACAAATGCTCAAGTGACAAAGGATACTTTTTCCTTTACAGGAATCAGGGTCAATCTTTAACAAAGAGCTTCCTTGCAACTGCAAAAGCCCCATAATAATCTTGCAGGAGTCCAAGCAACCACCAGCTCTTAGGTTGACTTACACTGAGAATATTTGGCCTTCTGTATCAGTATGATTTGACCTCAAAGTTTCCTGACTGGAGTTTGTTAATAGGAGAGTAAATTAAATATTTTTAATCTCTTTATAATAAACAGTCTTGGGACTAATTGTTATTGTTTTTCTGAGGAGCTTTCAGCCACACGCAGAATGTTAGAACCTGATATTTTGCTTTTGAGGTTTAAAATGCACCCCAACCTACTGAGAGGTTTACAGCTTTTTTTTTTTTTTTTTTTTAAATGGCATTGTAACTGCCATAGGAACATATTGTAACTGTCAATTACAAACCACTGACACCAGATTTAACCTCCTACACAAGTGCGCATTGCAACTGGTGTTTCCCCAGACAAGACATAACCATTCAGCTAGCAAGAGAAAAACATTTGGTCTCTTAATTACTTTCTGTACAAACTGTATAATTAAAGTTTTGTTTTATGATTTTGTAATGAAAACAAACAAAACTATTTGTAGTTGTTTTCCCCCTTCTCCTCCCCCCCCCCCCACACCCAAATAAAATAAAATAAAATAAAAGGAGGAATGAAGGAAATAGGAGGGGAGAGGGGTAAGCAGCATTTTGATATCTTTGCATTAATAGTCTTTGTATTAAATTTCATTTAATTTGTATTAAATTCAACTACAAGCTCTCCTCAGCTTGTTCTGGAAAGAGCATGAAAACAAGCACTTGCAACGATTATTTTTGTAAGATGGAGCACAAATTTCAAATGACATGAAATCTCTCAGTACACTTCTTCAAATCCTCCTCTCCTCAGTCAATAAGAGCACTCAAAACTGGACTGAGGATGTGAAAACCACAGCCTCCCTTTAGATGTGCAATCAACTCACGAGAGTTGGTGGCAGAACTACCCAAGCAGGAACAGTGCCTGGCAGCACCTGGGTTAGCTGAGAGCCCAGAGGAGTAACATCACAGTATCCAGTGGACTTAGAAGGTGCAACCACTGAGAGACATCTTCCAGGGCCTTTACTGCTGCATAAAAAACTGGCAGCCAGCAGTCACTGATGGGAGCTAACCAATAAGATCTGGCAGTTTCAACAAACATCTTCAGGGTGAAATAGAGGGAAGCATTCTCCAAGCACATTCTATGCAGGCCCATTCTCTAGCTCATCATATTTTCTAAAATAAAATGTTTAATCCTACTGCAGTGAAGGCAGCTGTAAGACAAAAAATTGACTTATCTGGAAGAACACTTTATTCTTGATTCTACTATGAAGGATTCCAGTATATGGCCTATTTAACTATTTCCAGACTGACACACCTATTTGATTTTATAACTTTGGCAATTCCACTGTGAAAACATAGATTGTTTTTAGCTAGCAAGACTATTTGCCAAAGAATCGCATTAACACCCTCTTTTCAGGTGTAAAGGGAAGAAAATGGTGAAATTTGTACTGCCGTGAGAAGAGAACAAAACAAATTGAACTAAAATGTGTCCATTTTAAAATTCACCAGTGGGTAATGATCAGTTTTATTGGTATGAAACTGGAATCACACTTCCAAAGCTGAGTAAGTGTTAAGCACATCTATACAAGCAAAGTGTAACCATATGCGAGTTCAAACAAATTGTGCTGGTTATGAGAGAAAACTTCATACTTTACTGTTTAGAAAATATGATTTAATTTTTTCTAAAGGAATTTTCTTTCAGTGGGGATAATTTTGTTACTAACAAAAAAAGGACAAGGTGTTTTCCAATGGAAATGTTTAGATTCATTTTGATTTCTTACTATATCTGAATAATATGAAAATTGCAAAAGAAATTGCTTAAGCTGGCTTCATTACAGGTTCATTACAGGTTTCTCTGCATATATTTTTTGTATCTGAAAGTTTAATGACTGAAAAATGTGGCAAATATCTTTGTGTGAAGCCTGATATCAGTGAAACTGGAATGGACAAAAAGTATATCCTCTATCATCCTTTTAGTTGAACATTTTTCTCATTAATAACTTGCTTAAGCCTAAATAAATTATTAAATAGTACCTTCTTTCTCAAATTTACTCACTGGAGTCAGCACTGATGTCACAGAAACAGGGAACAGGCTCAGCAGAGGACCTAAAAAAAAAAAAAAAAAGGTTTACTGATAGTGTAATAAACTTCAAACCCAGAGCAACATAAAATGAAACTGAAGTAACTTTAGCTTTAGTGGAAATATATGTAAAATAAATAGGGATATGGAGAGTTATCTGGGTTCTATGTAACTACTACACATTAGAGAGTAGAAACATTAGCACCTTGGATCTACAAGGGCAAAACATTTAAATACCCAATATACAACAGAGACAAATGTATCAATGGGTCTTTTTTGTTTGTTTTGTAAGAAGAGGGAAGATGTAAATATGAAATGTGATTTGTAAAAACACATGATTTTAAAGATACAATTAATAAAAAAATTCTGTGGTGAGCAATCAAATTTTGTCAAATATCTATTAACACTACTCATTTTTCACAAAGAAAAGAAAAGGAACAAAACAGAAAAACAGGACAGCAGTAGTACAGCAAACAAGTGGGAGGGGATTAGGGTCTGATACTGAACAAGTCTTAATGTTTCCAGATGGACAGTATTTTCACTACAGAAGGAGAAATTCTCCCGTGTCGTAACATTTCTCCATTACTATTCTATGACATGGTTTGTTCAGAAATGGCAAAAAAACAGCATTTCTACAAGCATAAAGTGCAAGATCATTACCAAAGAAATCCTATGATTTTGTGAGGGCTGGGGGGCGAAACCAGCAGGAAAAGCTTGGCCTACTGAAGTTGATGCCAAAAATCCTAGAGGATTTTGATCAAAATTGCTAATATTAGTTTAAAATGCTGTCATGATACTATGATGTGCCAGAAACCTGCATTCCTTGCCCTCCTTGCCCTTTGAATTTCCACTAAACTTCTTTGGGAAGTCAAAAGATTAAACAAGGCTTTCAGAAATCATTCCAAGTTATTTGGCTTGATAAAAGAAATAGTTGTAGAAAAGTTAACTTATGAATTAATGAGCTCAGGGCAATGTTCCCAGATAAAATAATACATAAGAAAGGAAAAAAGGCAGGTGATGCCATATATATACTGACTCAGCAAATCACAAAAAGAAATAAAAATTTAAAGGTCACAGAATTTTTTCATGTGTCAAAGCCAAATGTGTGCCTTTTGAACAAGAAGAACTGAAAATTCACATTAATCTGACAAATTTCATAGAATCATCAAGGTTAGAAAAGACCTCCAAGACCATCCGGTCCAACCATCCCACTACCACCAATGTCACCCACTAAACCATGTTCCTAAGCCCCACATCCAACCTTTCTCTAAACACCCCTAGGGAAGGTGACTCCCTGGGCAACCTATCCCAATGCCTGACTGCTCTTTCTGAAAAGAAATATGTCCTCATTTACAACCTGAACCTCCCCTGGTGCAACTTGAGGCCATTCCCTTTAGTCCTATCACTAGTTCCCTGACAGAAGAGGCCAACCAGCTCCCCACACCTTCCTTTCAGGTAGCTGTAGAGAGCAATGAGGTCTCCCCTGAGCCTCCTCTTTTTCAGACTAAACAACCCCAGTTCCCTCAGCCACTCCTCACAGGACTTGTGTTCCAAGCCCTTCACCAGTTTCGTAGCCCTTCTCTGGGCATGCTCCAGCACTTTGTTGTCCTTCTTGTACTAAGGGGCCCAAAACTGAATACTCAAGTACTCAAGGTGTAGCCTCACCACAGCCAAGTACAGGGGAACAATCACCTCCCTGGTTCTGCTGGCTACACTATTCCTGATACAAGCCAGGATGCTGTTGGCTTTCTTGGCCATCTGAGCACACTGCTGGCTCATGTTCAAGTGAGCATCAATCAGCTTCCTCAGATCCTTTTCCTCTGCACAGCTTTTCAGCTACACTGCCCCAAGCCCATTGTGCTGCATGGGGTTGGTGTGGCCAAAGTGCAGGACCCCGCACTTATCCAGGTTGAACCTCATCTCATTGGCCTCTGACCATCAACCCATTCTGTTCAGGTCCCTCTGCAGGGCCTTCCTACCCTCTGGCAGATCAACACTTCCCCCCAGCTTGGTGTCATCTGCAAGAGGGTGCACTCAATTCCCTCATTCAAATCATCAATAAAGATATTAAAGAGGATGGGCCCCAACACTGACCTCTACGGAATGGACGTGTATAGGAACAATTAAAATAAATCTAGAACAAGGGTAAATTAGTTTTTAACTGTTAGAGCCATTGTTATAGCCCAATGTCCTTAGATCCATGCTGATGTCTCAGTGGGAGGTACAGCTTAGCCGAACAGCCATACGTCACAGCAAAGCACAAGCTATATGGCTCAATGCATGGGTAATAGCTGAAAAAATAACACCTGTGTTGAAGCACATTGAGAAAACAATGGTGCTTCACTACTTTCAGTCTTTCATTGCTAAGATTCAAATGTTTAGTCATCAACATTTTTGTGTTAAACACTACTTCATGCATGGAAGTGTTTGCTGAAGCCAGCGTAAGAGAGGAATTTGGTCTTCTGGATAATAACTCTCTTCTAACTATTTCTCCTACTTTCAGTAACTGCAAGCTATTTATGATCGGATGTTGCTAATCAAAATGTAGATGCCTAAAGTAATAACTTTAACTCACAATCACTTGCAAGAATAGGAGAAGTCTGTTAATGACCTTAGAATAATGAAGCTGTTACCACAAAAATACTTAACAATGGGACTACAAATCTAATAGTCTTCACCCCATTCACAAGGGAGCTTTACTTAACAGAGACTAAGCTAAAACTTGGCTTAGGAGTTTATTTTTGTGAAAAGTGGCAGAATATATTCAGTAAACGCACAGGGTCATGAAATAGGAATTCACATTACATACACAATAAGCTGCATCACAGAACGTATAGTCTGGGTTTACCTGAATACTGAAATTAGTTTAAATAACTAGCGTTGTGACTTGCTACTGCGGTCTGAGCCTTTATGCGACAAAGCAGTGAATTAAATAAAGGCTGCTTCTGAAGAAACACCACTTAGAGTCACCTGTAAAAATATTGGTGGCTTTCAGCTACACATGCCTGTGCTGAAAAAAGACATAGCTGATAATGGAAGCATCCATTTATCGCATTTTATGCTTTGCTTCAGTTTATACACAGAAGGGGTTTACAATGGTAAGCAAGAGGGAAGTGTGGTGGTAGGACAATGATATGTTAAGACAGTGATGTGTCAAATATTTCAGTTCATTGTGCTTCAAAAATTAACTCCCACTGTATGTGGCAGCCAGAAAAAAATGGAAAGCTTCAGAGAAAGTGAAAAAGAATAGAGAGTTTACAAAACAAGTACTCTCTTCTCAGCTGTCTAGCATATGCATATACTGAAAATGTATCACTTCCACCATCTTTACTTTTCACATCAGATCAAATTACCACAATGTGAATTCTTAATCATAGAGTGGCTCGGGTTGGAAGGGACCTTAAAGATCATCTAGTTCCAACCCCCGAAATGTTTAATGTTTAATTTTATCATGAATCTAATCTTTCTGTTACAGATCAGCATCTATATTAACCACATAAACTTTAAAATTAATCAGAGTAGCTAAGCTAATCTTTGCTATTATTAGCTAAGCTCACATTTGTTGATCTGTACTGTTGCTGACTAGCTTGAGCTCTAATTTAGCAACAGATCCCTTTGTCTATGGTGATGGATCAAAGGTCAGACTAACTCCAACCATGTGGAGCCTAATGATAGCTAAGGGAGACCCATGATGGATATAAAAATAGAACTAAAGATAAAGGCTTTAATCACAAGTGACAAATTAGATTTTTGATGTGTCAAGTTCAATATTAATTATTTTCAGCTGCTCTGCTTTTTCTTTTGTCTTAAGGAAACTACAGCAATCTGCTGACATGCATGGAAAAGTTCAGGTGCAAAATGACCCCAGTTCAGTTTGCAGATTTACAGGAAACCATATACTATCCTTGGAGCATTTAAGTACTACAGGCTGTAGAAAAACTGTGGCCTGTAAAAATATAAATCATGAGATGATACTGTTCTTTTCCCAATTTTAGAACAATCTAAATCTTCTAATAGTGTTGTGCACTACAGACTGACATAAAACAACCAGAAAACAAACAGATTTCTGCCAGAAGAGAATCAACGATTGTCTGGAGGAACATTTCTAATTAAATTACTTTGCCATAAATTAAAAAACATGTAAGAATTGGTCATTTCTTTTCCATTTTTCCAATTATGACATTCTTTCAATATCAGCCTGAGCCATCCACCCCCTGCCAATAAAAGGTTCATATGTTTTATGCATTTAAAAATTTAAAAAATATATTTTTAAAAAATAAATAAAAAAAAATTAATTAATCCATTGCACTCTCTGATGTTTTGGAAAAAAAATAAATATATATATATATATTAACAGTAGAAAGTCAATTAAGCTGCAAAAATGAACATATCCAGAAATTCTTTAATGAGAAGGAGGAAAACTGAATAACATGGAAATTTAAAAGGAAACTGAGCTGTGCAATGTGACGGATTCCAAGATAACAGCTTTGCTTCCTTTACCTTTGAACTAAAATGTAAACATTTTTGATCATTTAACAGAAGTATTAATGATATCTGACCTGTTGACTGTGTATGACGAGCTAATAGCAAAAGCGATTAAAGAACAAAGTGGCATATCAAATATTCAGTCATACACATAATCAGTAAAAGCTTTCCCTAACTTAACTAAACACCAACCACCTCGAAAAAGATATGGTGGTCACATATGATGTCTGAAAATATTTTTAATACACTGATATCTGCATGCGATTACTAGTCTGGGTTCTTTTAAATAAAAATATCTGAGAGGACACTGTTTATCCTGACTACTGGAGACAGTAACAGTATGAAACCGAAGCACCCAGATGAAGATAATAATAATAATTTCCATAAACTTAAGCAAAATTAGATGTAAGGTTTTAAGCTCTCAGAAGCGAACATGGATGTAATTAATTAGCTCAAAAGATACCACAAAGTCTGTAAATTTGACAGTAGCAAATTGGAGAAACAATTATAAAAGTCTTTTGCTTGGATAAGAGCTTGGGAA